GGCTCACGGGGCTGTGCCCAGCCCTGGGCAAACACAGAGGAGACTTCTGCCATCACCTTCTCGGACATCACTCACTGCCCTTCTACACGCCCCCCCCAGCTGCTTGAGGGGGGGCTGCTCTGCACCCCAGACTGTCCCCCGGGCGTGGGGAGCAGGTGCCCTCACCGGCAGCCTCACCCCACGATCGGGGTGCGGACACGAGCATCCACCGCTGCTGGGACCTGCTGCGGGGTCTGTAGGTCTGAGCCGTCAGCGGCCAAAATCGGGGGCTCGCAGCCCCGCTGCTGGCAGGGGGGGGGCGGCGCGTCAAATCCGACCTCTTTCGGGAGCTGGTGAGAAGCAGCCGGTGTCGAACACGGTGGCTGCGATCACCCCGTGGGAGGTGGCATCGCGGGTGCTGGATTTGGACATCCCGCACCCAGCAAGGCTGAGACGTCCCCGTCACCTCCTGTTCCCTGGCACGGGGATGCCCAGGGTGGCCCAGGGCTGGGGGGGGACGGCGGAACCCCGGAGGTGAACGCAGCATGGAGGAAACCACAACACGACGCTCGCTCTCGGCAGCCTCGGCGCCTGGGAACGCACAGAACCCCCCCGGCCGGGCCCAAAGCCGCTCTCGCAGAATGCCAACCCCACAGGGCCGCTTCCCCTCGGGGGCGGGCAGGAGGGTGCAGGCACGGGGGTCCCCTCGGGGCGCCTACGCCAGCGGCCGAGCCCCATGCCGCGAGCAGCCGGGAGGAAGCGCTGGGGACCACAGCGGCGCAGCCGGAAGAGAGGGGAGCCGGGTGGGTGGCGTCACCCCAGAAATGCCGGGCAGCACCGCTGCAAAGGTCCCCACGGCACCACCGGGTCCCTCGCCCTGCCCCAGGCTGCCTGCTGCCTGCACAGGGATGCTCCAGCTCTTCCCTAGACCTCGTCCTCAGAGATACCTCCCCTGTGGGCACCCACTCCTCCGGGGGGGTTTAGGGTGAGGGGCTCATCCCCCCCAAAGCCAGGGCTGCCAGGGCCCAGACCCATGCAAGGCAGCCAGGCAGGAGACAGACCCCTGGCATCAGCCTGCATGCAGCAAGCATCACCCCAGACATGGGCAAGCATCATCCAGACATGGGCAAGCATCACCCCAGACATGGGCAAGCATCATCCAGACATGGGCAAGCATCACCCCCAACATGGGCAAGCATCATCCAGACATGGGCAAGCATCACCCCCAACATGGGCAAGCATCACCCCAGACATGGGCAAGTATCATCCAGACATAGGCAAGCATCACCCCAGACACGGGCAAGCATCACCCCAGACATGGGCAAGCATCACCCCGCTGCTTTAGGTCCCTGGGCAGCCCGGCTGCATTCCCCACACCCCCAGGGACCTCCGTGCTCACCAACCGCAGGCAGCCCAGGGCAGGTCCCGGGCCATCGGGGCAGGGGAAGGTCCCCCGCGTCCCGCGGCTCCAGGTCCCCCACCCCCCCCCCCCGGGGGGTGGGGGGCCCCCAGCCAGCGGGCACCCCAGTGCACATCACCGAGGCTGGGCACCCTGTTACCCCCGGGGGAGCCCAGGCAGCCGCAGCGCAGGCGGCTCCAGGAGCTCCCCGACACGTGCTGCCCCGCACGCGGAGCCGGGACCGCGGCTCGCCAGTGGCTGAGCCTGCACCGAACAGCCGCCGCGGGGTGACTCACGCCTGCGCCCCCGCCTGAATGCACCCCTTGTCTGCGCCGGCTCCCCTGCGCCACGGCACCTCCTCCATCGCCGGGCCTGGCCGGGCACCGGCACTGACGCCGGCACCGACACCATCCCCAAACAGAGCCGGTGCCTGCACACGCACCCATCACCACAGCCCAGCAGAAGGCCATACCCTGCTGTATACATCCACTATAGGAACCAAGTACGCGCCTGCTGTAGCAACCAAGCACCAGCACGCACACAGAGCGTACTGGACGTGTACACTAGAGTAACCAATCAACTTACCCGTACCCTACTGTATATATCCGCAGCGGCAATCAAGCACCAGCAGATATATACCCTACTGTATACATCCGCTGTAGTAGCAAGGTATATATGGTACTGTATACGCCCAGTGCAGTTACCAAGCATCGGTGCACGCACACCCTGCTATACATACTCGCTGCAGTAACCAAGCACCAGCACATGTACCCTACGATATACTTATGCATCATTTATACGTGTAATGTATACGCCACACGTGCATCGGTGCACACAGAGCGCCGGGGCCCCACGGCCACCTCCGTCCCCTCTCCTTTCGGGTATCGGGGGCCGGGAGCCATCCCACTGCCCCTCTCTGGCACAGGCTGTGGGGGTCCGCCACGGTGTCCCCACAGTCCCCCGGGAGACACAGCGGAGCCTGACGAGGACAAGCTGCTGGTGAGGTCAACCACAGCCATCCCTCCGCCCCGGGGAAAACAGCTCCTGCCATTCCGGGAGGTGCTGCTCGGCCGCCAGCACCCGGCGAGGACACGTCCCCGTCCCCTCCGGCACAGGGCACGTCGCCGACAGCATGAGCCGGGCTGAGTCAGAGCCGGGCCGGGCGCCCCCCGGCCCCGGCATGCAGCTCGCAGGGGACCTGTGTGGACCCCGCATCCCCAAACCCCCCAGGAGCAGCTCTGGTGGCGAATCCCAGCCCCAGAGCTTGCCAAGCCGGGCAGGAGGGAGCAAACCCTTCCCGGTGCCATGCCGGGGCTGGGCACAGCCTGCTCCCCGCTGAGCCCCGGGGCAGATGCCCACGTTCCCAGGGGCAGCCCCCCGGGGAGCAGGGACTGGGGGGGGGGGGGGGGCAAATTT